AACGATTCCTTAAATAGATGTATCATTCTTAATGACTTTGTTTCTCACTCGACTAGAGAAACTCACAATATTTAAAATCTAATAATAACTTCACATCCTATGGACACTTATAAATTTCTGTAGTTCGGTGGATACCGCAAGATTCCCAACAATTATAACCATCAAACTATATACTAAGTTTTTCAAGAAATTGAATCTCACTCTTCAAGCTTATACTCTCTACATTCATCACTGTAACCATAACTAATGGTTAATTCCACTAATATTAAATCTAATCCCATAGCTCGCTGCACACTCTGATATTTATTAACATCCAACAATTTATAAATCAAAACTAGCCATAAGATAAGAATTTTCATAGGTTCGAAAGTTTTGAGAAGATATGTCAAATTCTACCAAAGTGTATAATTGAAACCTAACCACATTTATCCTCCAATTATAGCTTCCAAATTGTATACACCAACGATCCATCTAATCCATGCAGAGGAAATTTTAGTAATTAACTAACTGTTATAAGTAGGCTAAGTCTCAAGTTATATCTCCAAGATATTTGCTCTCAGTCCCCAATCTAGAGCTCAAATCAATAAGCCTTACAATCCCCTTCATAATTCATTTGTTTCCGGATTCATGCTTTTAGATTATTCTTACTATCTCTACATGTTCACCAACTCGATTAAGATCAATTATTTTCTATCTCCCAAGTATTCATTCTCAACCTCTAACTTTATGCTAGAGTTAATAACTATGAAATCAAGTCATAGTGGCTTTCATTAACATCCCAATTCTTTTCACAATACTTATACTTTTGAATCCCCATGCACAATCCAGTACAATATATATCCAGCAATATCCCAAAATTTCTCTCAATTAACTACTACCAAATTTCTGGTGATATAATTAAAACCAAACACTAGAATCTAGTCATCATAGTCTTAATCATTATTAGTAATCCCTAAGATATTAACAATCTGCTAGTTATTAGGATATCCATAGTCATTGATCCCAAAAATTACACAAGGTTTCTACATCCATGTCAAAGTCAATCTTCATAGGTATTATCATTGATTCTTCAAATTACATCTTTCCAATTATCATCACTAATCATAAAGTTCAAATCTTTCATACTCGTACTAACAATCTTCAAGTATAACTAATCATACCTATCTTAACAAAGTATTAAAAGAGACAAGAGAAAGAACTTTTTATTCCTCCAACACGACCCAATAACATTAAAAGATTTCACGGAACAATAGAGGTTTATATCAAACTTTGGATATTATTCGTATTTTAATACTTATTTGATATATCTAACCTCGATCTTTTTAAACCTCTATAGTCTTTAATTCTACAATATGTAGGGTCAAATGTAACTACTATAATTTAGTCAGGCCCTCTAGATTTCCTTTTTACATGTCTATGAGTTCGTTTCCATATCTCAACCTCAAATTTTCAATCAAAATTTGTAAATACAAATGAACTATTAACTACACATTCACCCAAGAGATTCTCGATTATTAGTATTCTACAGAGTCTAAATATAGTGAATTGGGTCCACAACAAAATAATATTACCTAAATATAACGTCCTCAATGAGTATCCTATGTGTGACACTTCTAATCCATTAAATACTTCTAAAGTAAATTTAATCAACTCTTTGTAATATTTTCAAACCAATATTAGTAATCTCAAGTTTGTGGTTATGAAAACAAACTCTTATCCATTTAAGAACCATAACCATAACCACAATTCCTATTGCTATTCTAAAATAGGCTCTCATTTGATGTTATTTCACCATATTCCTTCAATTGATCATATTTGAGAATTATACTATCTCATAACATTGTACTCATCCTAGAGGAAAGTATAACACTCACATAGTTCATATCGTAAAACAAAATCTACATTCATTTCTTAATTTCTATGACTTTTAAGTAACACATAATTTTTCATAGCCTTATTATTCAAAACTTAGTCCATCTTAAAAACATCTAAGTTGACCTTACCTCCCCACTTCCCAACTGGGTTATCACATCTCCTTGGCTTCCAAAAATATAAGCAACACTAATAGTAGAATAAAATACTTAGAGTCGGTAAGGCACCAAGTCATAATCCCATTTTATATTGTTATCCATCAAAATACTTCAATTAACATGGGGGTATCTCTAAATCAAAGCCTAAATAGTGATGGAAGCTTGCTTAAGAATAAGTCTTTCAGAGTCTAAGAAGAAAAACATGACATTTTGCTATCTAAGGAATACCACAGTATAGATTTTTGATCAACTTCAAAGAATAAATTAATTTAACTTAGGTATTTCTAACATGTGTGACCTATATGGTTGGAAAGATATACGAGTTAGGATTCTAACAAAAAAGACGGTGCACTATTTGGACTTTACAACAAAGAGTTATGATTAAATTGGTAAAAAGGAGTCGACTTGACTGATGATTCTTCTACACTTGTCCAACTTGAGTTTGGATGTCTTTTGTTACAAATCCTATCTCATACCTATCTCCAATATAGATAATGACTTGCATAAAGATCCATACCTACCATCATTTACAAATCAAAAGCCAAATTATTATCCGTCTCTTAGAATAGTCCAAAACTACATGATACAAAACTAAAATATTCATTCCAAAATTTTCGTCAACTCCTCAAAGCTAACTAATTCCATGAATTTTAACAAATAATTAATTTTGAAGATAACTAAGCAACAAATCACACATATCTTACAAACATTTAACTTCAAACAAATTCAACCTTAGAGTTTCTTCAACCACCTAATATTCTAGTGATAGTCCACAACCTACAGCTCCCATGTAAGACCTAATTCCTAAGTCCCGATACCAAAATTTGTAACACCCCAAAAATCACCTTGGACGACATTACAATTTAAAATCATTCACATCATGAGAGCAACTAATATAATCCATCAATAATTAAAAATTCATTCATCATATCTAATAGGTACAACATCATCCCAAAAGAATATGTCCAACTATGGCAATTACATCCAAAAGAATTAAACATATACTCGCAGCGGAATTACAAAAGAGTCTAGACTATACAATATTTCCAAAATAAATTTCTTAGTCTAGAATAAAAGGTAATGTTGTTCTAAGCGCCCACCTCAGTACCAACATGCCCATCTATGGGATTCTCCCAGTGTGCCGGTTCATCAACTCCCAACTCCTCCTCTAGTACATAATGTGAAAAATGTTCGGATGTAGGGGGTGAGCACTAAACTCTGTAGGAAAATCTTTTCAAACTCGAACAAGGTTTAGAAAAGCATATAAAAACGGTCGGTCACCTTTCACAAATAGCATATATGAATTTTGAAATAAAACAGGGACATTTAAACATATCTCAAGTTTAAGCAACAACAGTACTTTAATGCATAAGTGAAACCAATATACGACTAATAATCCATTCCACCATAAACCTTTTCTCCCAAATTCTTGCGGAATCTCATACTTCTCAAAATTCTTGTAGAAACTACTTCTGGTACAATGAACAATAACCCACCATTGTATTCGTATCTCTAGTTTGAAGTAAGATCTCACATGAATACCATCAAAAATATCCTGGCCTACGTACAACTCACACAAATCCTCGCAAGGATATCCAACCTTTAGGAAGGGCGTATGTTAACACCATGACAGTGACGTATCTAACCCAAGAGTAGTATACTAACCCTTTTTCCACGATATCCCGTGAGCGATAATAGTTTAGTCCTCGCAAGGCACTAACCCCATTACGAATGGTAGGAAAAGTTCAAACCCGCACGGAGTAAGAAGTCGTCTAAACACTCTATGATACCCGGTTAATAGTAGTCCATGTTTATCCAACAACCACACAAGAGATACAATACCAACAATTTTCTCAAATAACAAACAATTTCATAAATTCCCAATTTCACATGGATTTCAATAGAACAATTGAAGAAAATGCAAGAGATCATCATCAATATCATTTTGATACTCAACGCAAAACACTAAAGTTTTCAAAACTAAATTTAAGTTAATGTAGAGGGAGAAATCCATATTTTTCAAAAACTAGGGTTTTAAATTAAGAAAAAGAGGTTTCATTGATATTTAACCCTAACTTTGTTTAAAACATAATAATAATTGCAAAAAGACCAAGGAATGATGATTTTATAACATATATATAAGATTTAGAGTCAAAGAATACATATATACAAGCCCTAGTCTCAATGAACAAGAATGGAAAAAAACTCCTATCTTTTTCCTTGGCTTTGGTGTGAAGGACAAGAAGATTTGATCTTGAATCACCCTTAAAATTTTTATTTTCCCTTTCTCTCTTCCTCTCTAAGTCTTTCTATTAGGGTTCTAAGAGGTTTGAGGTGAGAGTGGGGTGAAAGAATGAGAGCAAATGGAGTGAAAATGGAGTTTTAAAACATAAAAATCTCGATTTTTTAACGATCTACCGGTAGTTCGGGTCCACTGGCCACTTACTACCTGTTGACTACCGGTAGTTCGGATCCACTGGACAACGTACTACCTGTAGGTCCTGTCTAGATTTGCCTATTTCCTCTATTTTTCATTTCAAACCCATTCCAAACCCTTCCAAAACCAACCCAAACTTATACAACATACATTTGTACATCAAACATAGTTGGTATAAGTTCTATTTTAAACGGTTTCATATTTTTACAAGTCAAAACTAAGTTTGAACTAAATATTTACCCGATTCTACACTATTAACATTTTTATGTCTATTCTTACAATCAACTTAGTTCATGCATATTCTATTACGTATATTACCATTTCAAAAAACATAATTTTGTTGCTATATTTGATAATACGAATGTAGGAGTTTACAATCCACCTATTTCTTTTGTGGCTTCTGTAATTATGCTTTGTTCCCTGACAGTTTTCTATGGTTCACTGATTTCCATTCATTGTTTCCTCTTAGGTGTTGATATTTGGGTCATTTACAGAAGATGAGATCAAGTTTTTGAAAAGCCAACCGACAAAGAATGATGTAAAAATTACATTTGGTTCTTTAGATTCTACGACTTTAAGATCAGTGGGCATTTTTGACAAATTGTCAGAGCTTGACAGTTCTAAAAAGTCTGGGCCATCTAAACAGCTCAATAAAGAAAATGTCAACAAGACTGGCTCTATACCAGAAAATACATCAAAAATAGTATCAAGTTCAGATGAAAACAATAGGAACTATGATTCATGTTCTGTTCTCCATAGTGGTGGTATAGAAGAATTGAAACCAAACAATGTAGAGATATCTCAGTCACGTGTTTCTGAAAATGTTTCTGATCCTTCAAACCAGTCCGGTCTAAAGGGACCTTGCATTGAAGGTCTGACAATATCCTCTAAACCTTTAGCAGATGACGTTTTGATTGGTTCATCAAAAGGTGTTGACCTCGAGCTATACAAGGAGAATGTTTCTAAGGCATCAAATGGGCCTATTGTGACTGTTGGAGATTTACTACCTCGAGGTTTAGTCAACTTGGGGAATTTATGCTTTCTCAATGCAACTCTGCAGGCTCTTCTCTCTTGTTCTTCCTTTGTTCAACTCTTGCAGGAACTTAGGAGTCGTGATATACCTGAGGTAGACTGCTGATTTATTTCTTTTATTTACAAGAATTTTTATGTTCAATCTCTAATTTCTATATGTGAATTTTTTGTTTCTTCCCCTATTTTTAGGTTGGGTATCCAACATTACGTGCATTTGTTGAGTTTATCTCTGATTTTGACCTGCCCTCTAATTCAAGCCCAAAGGAGATGGGTGTTTTGGAAAGTGGAAGGCCTTTCCGTCCTGTCATGTTTGAATCCGTTCTGAAAAATTTCACCCCTGATGTGACAAATAGCTTATCTGGCAGGCCAAGGTTTGTGTATGGAATGTGCTTTGCACCTTTGTGTTTATGAAGTTATACATTCTCTAGTTGTCTGGTTTGATCTTTTCTCATAAACTCAGCAATCAACTGCCTAAGAAAAAGTTGTTGCTAAATCCTAGGCTGGTAGCTGGATATCCTTCATTTGGGCTCTGTGTATTGTGCCTTTCTTGCAATGTCTCTTATTCTTTAACATTCTGTAAGATCATCTGGACAAGATGTTCTTATAAAACAGTATCAAAAATGAAAGTTCATACATTTACATTTCTTCTTGTGATGTCTATGTCAGTTGAGAACATAATGGTTAAAACACTTCTGCTGCTCTTTTACTTGGATTTTCGTATTCAAATGGTAGAGATGTTTGCTGAGATTCGACAATTAATTTCGCTCCAATATCCAGTGTTTGAACTCATGCTAACTTTTCGATGCCCAAAGCGTACACCTGATATAGTGAGCCTCGTAAAATGATGATGTTTGATTCTGCCTTTATGATAAATAATGTATTGGATCAAAAGAATTTTATCTATTGTTGGGGGATCATGATAACTTTATTTTTACCAATCTGCTTTCTGTCGTATGCAAAGTTGTTAGTATCGTACGATACGCGATACGTATCGTACGATACGTTACGATACAGCCCTAAAACGATACGGATCGTAGTTATGTATCGTTTTTGCGTTGTATCGTCCGATACACGATACGTTTTTACGATACGATACGTATCGGTACGATACGCACGATACGTGCAATTTTTTTTTTTTTTTTTTTTATTTTTTTTAAAAACGACGTCGTTTTGTGCTCTGATTTTTTTTAAAAAAAAACGACAAGTGAAGACTTGTTGGCATCCGATCACAATGATGATGATGATGATGCATTTTCAATTGAAATTGAAGATTGAGTTCAAAATGGATGTTAGAAATTTGGATTAGAAGTCTCTTTGGTGTTTAAAGTTTGAATTAGTGAACTATGGTTGTGAACTTTGCATTATAATAGTAGTGGATTATGTTGATAACTTGAATAGTTGGTGGAGTATTAATGAAATGCTATATTTTTTATGAGTGTATGACTTTTTTTCAAAGGTATATATATTTTTTTATTATTTATTTAAAATTGCATCGTATCTTACGATACACGATACGATACAATATTTGTATCTTACGATACGCCTTCCGATACACGATTTGATAACTATGGTCGTATGATATAAAGTTTGGTGGGCCAAGCATGAATATTAAATGCTTCAACTTAATGTTAGACACAAATAACTTGTTCAATTGCTATTGTAAGAAAACATCTAGCACTTTTTATTTTTCTTTTTTGACCTTTTGATCTAGTGCTATATGAGTTGTTTGAAATTAAAAAATATTTTATTAAAAGGATCATGACACGAACACAGCATAAGCCCAATATAACACAAACCCATGCAATGCTATCAGAGATGACGGTACATGACTCGATTAACAGCCCAAACCTTATAAATAATATTTCACTTGCTATTCTGTGCTTCTGTATTTGTACTTGCAGTCTTGGGTTTGGGTGGCTGGTGGCTGAATTGCTCATCTTTTCCAGGCAAGAAGATGCTCAGGAGTTCCTAAGTTTTGTCATGCACCAGATGCATGATGAATTGCTGAAACTTGATGGGCAAATTCCAAATGGGGATGGGAGAAAAGCCTCCTTGGTGTCATCGGTGAATGATGCAGATGATGATGATGAATGGGAGACTGTTGGCCCAAAAAACAAAACTGCAATTACGCGGACACAGAGTTTCTTTCCATCAAAGTTAAGCGCGATTTTTGGTGGTCAATTGAGAAGTGTGGTGAAGGCGAGAGGTAAGCCAAGTTCACAGCCTTTGCTGTATTGAACCCTGAGCAGGATTTTATTTTGCCCCTTCAACAAGTTTTCCTACCAATCGGTCAATTCCTTCATTGATTTAGTTTTAGGTTTTACTGCTTTGGTAGACATTTCTTTTAGAAGATGGCTTTACCTTGGAATTATTTCTCTGTGATGTTCTTTTTCTTACTAGAGTATCTATTTATGTTTATCTTTTCATGTTTCCCCTTCCTTCCCTATTATTGTTGTTGAAAATTATACTCGGCTTCCTGGACTATTTAGCTGTCTGAAAAAGATCTGCATTTATAGAGGAGTGAGCCAAGTTGATGTGGACTGTTACCTTTCACTTGCCTTGCCAGAGTTTCTGGAAGAAAAAAATATTAGAACAGATTAACACCTAGTTTAGGGCTGGTGGGCAAAAGTGGGTGTAAGTTTGATAATTAGCCCAGACATTGTTTTATGGGAATTACAAATGTATTTAAATTGTACAGCACAGAAACTGTACAATTTCTTACATGCAATGCCGAGAATATGAAATTTTACAATTAGGCCCCAAATTATCAAGGACATCTTGTAATCAATTCATTATAACCTATACAACACGGACACTCCTCGGACACGTGTCCGACACTTATTTGGTGACATGTCCGACACTAATTTAAACCATGTTTACTACTAAATAATAACCATGTGTTGACATGTGATTAACAAAACTTAAAAAATTAACTAATAAGTATTAAGACTAGACATGTTAAAATTGTACTCCAAAGATAATAACAAAAGCAAAAGATGCACAAAAATATTTAAAAAAGAGCAATTGAGAAAATAAGAGTAATCATTTAAATTATATATGTTTGGTACACATCTATGAAAAAATTGATGAATATTAGTTATTATGATATTAGTCTAAAAATTCACACTAGATGACTAGACATAATATTTACTTATCAAAAAATATTGAATTTTTTTATGAATAATAGATCATTATTACCATATCTATGATAAATTTATTTTATTTATAAAACACAATTATCTACTCAATGTGTCTGTGTTCTACTTTTTTGAGAAATGTTGTGCCTATGTGTCTTATCCGTGTCTTGTGTCTGTGCCCATACTTCTTAGATTATTACACGTGTGGGCCTTAATCATGGTGGAAACCAGTGTAACTTCAGGCACAAGGTACATTGAGGGGTTCAGGTATCCTAGGGACTAAGGTGCTAGGTGAGGCACATATCATAGATAACAAGCAAGTACTTTTTAACATTGGCAAAATTTTCAGCATGGGAAAAATCATGAGAATTACCAACAATTTCGAACTAGACAATTAAACGTTGACAAGCTATAGTAATCATGAGCAATCAGGCAATTAAATTTTTGAAAGATCCAATCAAATACAGAGGTAAGCATGCTAAGCAATTAAATCCAAGGATCTAGGTAGAACTCAGTTTGGTAAAAAAGAAAGATGAAAATGTCTTTTGAAAGTGAGATGGCAACCTTGAACTCAGGTTTCTTAAACAAGAGCATACATATTTCAGGTTGTATTTAGAAATAAGATTTTTCTTTTACATTTATTATTATCTGTTTCAATTCTGATAGAAAATTTTGAATTTAGCTCAGTGTCAGTGATCGTCTTCGGTGTTTACATTTGCTGAATCTTTTGGTGGCTGCAATTTTATATAATCTTCTAGCCTGTACATTTTTACACAAGCAGGTAATAAAGCCTCAGCTACTATACAACCATTTCTTCTCCTCCACCTTAATATTTTCCCAGAGCCTGTACGCGCAATAGAAGATGCACTTCGTCTGTTTTCTGCACCTGAGACACTTGAAGGGTACCGAACATCAGCTGCTGGAAAGGTATGATGTTTTAACTTATTACCATCTATTTTTGTTTACCTGGCTTCTGTCAAATAGTCTTATTTAATGTGACATACTGCCTTCTATGTGCATCAGTAGACAGGGTTGCTTAATTGTTAGAATACCCTTCGACAACAGTTGTATTAGCTCCATGGATCTTGAGAACTTCTCAAGGGTCAATATTTTTTTTTTCTTGTTTTGGGATAGAAGAGTGAGAGAGGGGGGAAATGAGGTTTCATCGGATTATGCATGGTCATATTCTTCCATGACATTTTAACCCTTGGAAATTCTTATGTCACGCCCCTTTTTTTTAAATCATCGGCCAGTGATTACGGAATAAACCATCTATGACACATAATAATGCTTCTTAAATTAAAATATATCTTGAACAAGGTTACATCATGAACATAACTTGACCTGATAAACATTTTGATACAACATAAAGAGGAATAGCAGTAATAGCTTCTATCTGCAGTCTCATTTAACTTATTCCCCTGGATTTCTTCCAACCTCTGAAAAATATTAAATAAGGATGAGTTCACTAGCTCAGCAGGATAACTTTTATCAATATTTATCAAAGTTTTAAAATGATATATAAATATAATCAAGTAACAAACAAATGCAGTATTAGATCAAATTAAAATTATGAGAATGCAGCACATATCGATATTCACAATTCGTCAATTTTCTGGTGCATGCATAAATCGTCTTTGGAGAAAACTTTGGGGTTTTGCTCTCTAAGAAACCTGATGCCCTTCTTGCATTTCTGGGAACACAAATACTGAAAATTTTGTGGTGCCACAGGCTACTCACGGTAACCGATATTATTAACCAATGAACCCAATGATTAGTAGGAATTCTGTGGATCCTTACAAGAACCACGCGTCTACTAACCCTCTCCCATCAGTTATATGCATCTAATGTAAATTCATCAAAATCATGAAGCAAAGACATATCGTATTCGGATCCAACATCAAGTATGGAGTTAAACACGACTGAATAAAATTCAAAACATTTTATATGCCAATTGGTTCCAAAAGATAATTAGGGTTTCAACTCAAAAATATCGTATGTGTAGGAACCGCGATTTATTGACAAAGCCCAAATCCAACTCCATGGATAATGCAAACTAATATTTATATTATATAATAAACATCGGTTTGATATGCAATCTCCAAATATGCATGAGATGCATCAATGATCGCAAAAGACAAAAGAAACCACACTTTTGACGTTATCTCGATTTGGTAGTGTGTACTATAGCAAAACAAACAAAGTAATATTTTAGAATAAAACTAAGTAATAATAACTTAGTAAAATCAAAGATAATTGTTGGGATAAATAACGAAAGATAACAATATCTGAATTTGATCTGAAAATATTTAATGAGGATCAAATTCAAGTAAGTTGAACCTATAAAATTGCTAGATCGTGACCCAAGAACGTTACCTAAATTTTCGATCGCAAGATCGAACTCCAAGGTTGACACAATTTTGACATTTTTCTTTCTTCTTTCTCCTTTTTTCTTCCTTCTCCTTTTTTCTTCCTTTTTTTTTTGGCGTTTTGCTCTATAACAACTTCTGAGTTTTGCTCTACAACCACTGTGGCTATTTATAGCCAAGTTTGGCAAACTTTTGGTTGCATGGCCTACCCATCTGTCGCCTTCTCTTTTCTTTTTTATTTTTTTTTCTTTGTTACACTTGTTACATTTGTTTTTAGCCACACCACCCCCTTCCATGCAATACTTGTCAGCTCATTAATCCATGCACTTCTAAAACTTGACACTTATAACACATACATACATTTACACATATATATAACATATGTTACACATTTATCATATTATTCGGATACCATAAAAAAAAATTATTTCCATATGAAATATAACTTATATTATAGTCATTTGACTCGTTTTCACGTAAGGAGTCCACATTTGAGGGCTATGTATTTATTCAAAATTTCTAAAAATAGAAATATAATTAACGACCTAACTTACGCGTTAGCAATTAATTAATTTTTTTTACATGGGTTGTTAGAACTTATTTGACTAGTAGTTGTTTTTATAGAACTAATCTCCATAATCTTTGATGTAATCCATTGTATTATATTCATGGGTTTTTGCGGGAGGTTTCACCCTCTCTTTCTCTTTGTGTTTCTCTCGTTTGCTTTCCTATGAAGATGGTATCCATCTTGTTCCCTCATTTCATTTTGTGATTTAAGTTTCATGTCTACACTTAACTGTTACTTGCCTTATAGATCTTTTCTTAAAGCCATTACACAATATTATTCTCCATCTATTGAAGGTGTTCAGAGGGGTGGATTCCTAAATTTATGCTTTACTTTGTATGATAGAAAAGTACAAGGATAAAAAAAAGGGGGAAAGAAATAAAACATCATGTTTGATAAGGAAGTAAAATTGGAATGACAGAAAAGTGGAAGGATTAGCCTTCCTTCAACTCGGCAAAATCTATCCCTCCAAAATTGGGAGGAAAATTGGATGAAAAGTTAATTATGTTTGTTGAAATATATGTTATTTACCTTCATATCCCTTAATATATACATATCTCTTATTTATTTACTTCATATAATATACACATTCATTCCATACATAAACACAATGCTGAAAAAAACAAAAAAAAAAATAATAATAATCCTTTCTATTTTCCATCTTTCTACCAAACACAAAGATCCTTCATTTCCTTCAAGTATAGAAAATGTATCACTTCAACTTTCTATCTTTTCGTCCACCTTTCCAAACAAAGTATTAGATATTGTTTAGAGAATATATATGCCTGAGACTCGAGCCCCTTTTTCAATCTATTTAGTTCAGGATTAAGACCACCTGGGAATTATAGTTTCTAGGTGTTTGCTCCTCGCTTGTATTCCTCATAAGTCATGACTTATTAGTGTAGACAAGAGTGGCTTAGAATCCAAACTTGGCTTCTGTTACTTTTATTGTTGCCTTTATTTCCTTAAGTATTTATTACCTTCTATTCTAGTATGAAGTGAATGCTTTCTAAGCTAAGCATGCAAATTGCATGCTTCTGGTAATGAAATGGTGAAAATGTGATGAAAATGCAATTAAACATTTAATAAAACTGTAACCTATTGTCACGTCCATAGGTTACATTATTGCTTTTGACATCCCACTATATTAAATGTCATATCTGGGAAATGTTTCATATTACGTTTGTTATTCACATAAATATTTGACAATCCCAGGCGGAGGTTGTGAGCGCTAGTAAATCTGTCAAGGTACAGGAGCTTTCCCAAATAATGATATTGCACTTAATGCGTTTTAGCTATGGAAGCCAAGGAAGCACCAAATTGCATAAACCTGTGCACTTTCCCCTGGAGCTTGTTCTTGGACGTGAGTTACTTGTTTCGCCATCATCTGAGGTAATGTTTCATCCTTTAGTCCTAGTTCGCTCATCCTTCATGTATTAGTCAACAATAGCTACTAGCCCTTCTAGGCTACTACAATTAACATCATACTCTTCTATAAACTTCCTTGCTGTGACTTTGCTGTTCTTGTGAATGTCTTTTGTGAAAATATTTTTGTTGCCTTGCTTCTTTAGCTAACTTTTTGCGAATTATATTTTACTTCTGTAGTTTGGGCTTCTAACCTTTTATGTCTCTATGATCTGAAATCTTACACTTTTCTCCCTTACAGTCTTGGCCTAAAGTTTCGTGCTTAAAAATTCTTTTAAATTGATAGTTTCAAGGTCACAGTCAATTTTCTAGAAACTAAAATAAAATCATCAATTTTCTTGCTTTTTTGATACTAGACCATTAATCCTGTTACGTGTTGCACTTCCCTCAAAAAACTTTCAGCGATGAATCATTGATTTTTGGAACCATGAGGGGGTTACTTGATTTTTATTCAAATTGTAGGGAGGTGTAGGGTAATTTACCTAAAATATGGTCCATTTTAACTCTCTGGACTGTAATTTCTTTCCTGTCTCTTGTAAAAAAACAAAAGAAATTATTAGGTTTGAAAAAAAAAAAATGAAAATAAGAATCCCTTTGAGGTTTTCTTTGGAGCTGCTGACCATTGAGTGTTACTAATTTTTTGTCAATTTGACATAGAATTTTGGATACACCTTTGCCGCTCTGATTGGATTCTCTGTAATGTGGCTTTGGTAGCTATGCCACTTGAATCTAGACTCTAGATGGATTTTTCAACCAAGCCCCGATGGGAAAAAAGGACCAAAATGCTCCAACTGTCTTTGTCAATACTTGAGCATGAAAGTTTCACCTTTTATGGCTTTGCAGCCTTTTTTATGATGCCATCTGATTGAATGGCCATCATAGGGCCGTGGATTTTTCGTGTTATCTTCACTGTTAATTATGTTTGGTTTGCTGGCACAGCGTCGACGATACGAACTTGTTGCAACTATTACTCATCATGGGAAGGAACCGTCTAGGGGACATTATACTGCCGATTCCCGCCGTTCAAATGGCAAGTGGCTGCGTTATGACGATTCCTCGGTTACTGCCATCCCCACAAGCAAGGTGATGCATGACCAAGCGTATGTTCTTTTCTATAAGCAGTTGTAGTGTTAAAACCTTTATGGGAGAATTGAAAAAAGGAAAATGGAAATGGAAGTGTGGTAATTAGGAGTTTCTATTGTAACCCACACATAGATACTATAGAGGTGACCAGAATTATCGATTACTTAAAAAGTTCACATCATTAACCCTTGCTAGCAACGAGTCGAGATGTAACTCCTGGTTATTTACTTGTTTTTTATGATTTTTTTTTTTTGTGGGGTATTACTTTCTTACCGGGAAATAAGATTCTTCTTTTTGTCTGATGAAGATGGAGAATTCGAACCTGGGTTGTCCTTGCCATCATCGTCCGTAGCACTTTGTAATTGGCATAGAACCAAGTGCTAAATTATGCTAGTTTCGGAGATGTCTGAGAAAGTTTAAGGTGGACTGTGTTTTTCTAAGTGAGGTATAAGAACAGATTGTGAACATTTAGTTGAATCAAGCTATAACCTTGTGATGCATAAGGAGGACATGGTATCCTAAGAAACTCAGCTAGCGCGACTAATGCACGAAGGATTGCCATCGATTGCTGATAGCATTATGCTTGTTAATTTTGATACGACTGGCAAATCTTACACGAAATCAACATGGGGTTAGTGTGCTTAATCTCAATGGGTTCAAGTGAAAAATGGTTGAACTAGTCAAATTTTTGTAAAAATAATAGTCAACCAGATTTTGGTTAAGCACAAAACGAAATTGGCTAAGTACGTATCGTACACATTATGAACAAGATTATTAATGATGAGGACATGAGTAAATATTGATATGTTGACTTATCTGATATAGAAAGTATTATGCTACACGTTTTTCAATCCCATTTTGAATGAAATATGGGGGGAAAATAGAATTTGTATTGCCATTGTAACGATAAATTTCGTGAAATGAATTAACACAAAATAAGGTCAAGTTACAATAATTAATTTGATTGACTTTAAGTAAAAAAAAATGTAGTGTTAACTCTCTTTAACGTGTTTCTCACGTGCATTATCCTCTGATTTTCGGTGAAATTGATGAATTTGGTGAAGATGAGGGCCTGATTGGCGTATTTCGCACTCTTTAATTGGTGGTTTTGATGAAAACGAGAGCTGAATCAATGTATCTCTTGCTCTTCAATTGGATGATATTTTTGATGAATCTCCTCACCTTTATTCATTTGGAATGACTTGAAGATGATTTGGATTTCTTGAAGGACTTTGGCGGTGTGCTCTTCTTCCCGGAGATGAATTTGCAAGGCTTTAAGCCTTTAGTAAACTTTGAGCAGAATTTCGTTCTTCTTCCTTCCTCCTTGACTTCTTTTCCCTTTTCTCCTCACCTAGACCACTATTAATAGTGCTACGAGTAGTTATCCATATAAGAGTCCTTATTACTCTTATATGGGCTTTAAGTAGTGGGCTACTTATAAATTTGTAGACTTTAATTAATTTATGGAATTTAAGTCTAACACATTTTACCTTTTAAAAGTTTATTTAATTTGGGCCTATGAAATTTAAGTCTATTTTAATTTAACAAGTCTGATTAATTGCATTTCGGCTTGTATTATTTCGGCTATGAAATTTAGGTCAAGTTTAATTTAATTTAACAAGTCTTGTTAATTAAATTTGGATTTGTATTATTTAGGTTTCGGAATTTAGGTCCAATCTAATTTTATTTATCTAATTGATTTGAGCTCAATTATAGACATTAATTTGTTAATTAAATTTTTAATGTCTACAAATGTTCCCTCGAGACTTATTTACATATTAATATTTTATAAATATATAAATGGGTCTCGATTTGTATTTTAATTTTAAAAGGAATTTGATTTAATTTAATTTATACATATATTTTAATTGGAATTATAGTCTATAAGAATTTTGGTCTATATGGAAGTCCCATTAAAATTTAACTCTTGAATGTTGCCTTGGATCAACGGACATGTACAACCTCCTTTTTTTTTTCTTTTCTTATATCTGTTTTATTGGTGCTTTCTTTGTATTATTACTTTTTCTCTTTTCTCTTTTTTTTTTCTTAGAATTGTGCGAACAAGTCAAAAAGAAATTGATTAAAATTTTTAGTTATTTTTGATAGACTTTATTATTTTGTAATAGAATTATAACCCATGTTGTACTCCAAGTAATACAAAGAATTCAATTAGTTACAATTTCCTAATATTTAGTTTATTAGGATTCAAAATAACTAAGTCTTTTTTACTTGAAGACATGAACCTAAAACACTCAATCCCTCTAAAACTATCATAACTTTTCTTTGTTTAAGGATGCTCAATGACCCAAGAGTTATAACTCTGGAAAATTTGTTTGGGAGTCAAGATAATTTTGTGGTTCAAGACATTAAGGTATGTTTCATATATATATATATTGTATTCTTTATTCTGACTTTGTTATCACAGTTGGGTTTTTTTTTTTAAGACATTCTTGATAAGTTAATTGTTTCACAAACCTTTTTTTTTATGATCTATTGATAAAAACTTTTATTTGCAGACACTAATTTCTATATATGTTTGACAACGCCTGACACTTTTGTGATCACTGGCGCTTTGACGTCAAGGCCAATTTGTTCAGGGTATTACTTCTTTTTCTTGTCCTCTATTTTGTAAATTCATATTATTATTATTATTATATCTATTTATATATATATATTTTTTTTTGTGATTTCTTAGAGTAACTCAACTTTGTTTCAAACACATAGATAATGACAGTCAACTTTACATGAGCCCAACCTACCTATAAGCTTCCCCTTTTTTTTTTTAATACTCAAAATCTTTTTTATCACTACCTTACTTAATTTAACACTGGATTTTATTTATTAATTTTTCTTTTTTGTGATATTGGTTGGGTGATTTCGCGAACTTGTCCACACTAATATACTATTTTGAGTGGCTATTTCTATTGAAGTGTTTTATTTTTTTGGGTAATAAGAGGTTAATGTTAGTGGTATCTTGTTACAAGATTTTGATTAGGTGATAAAGTTTAAAATATTATATACTGTTCAAATAGTATATTTTTTAATTTTTTTTTTCCTAGTTGTTTAACCCAATTGGTCAAGTTACATGATTCCACCGTAAATTTGATGACAACAATTAATAGGCCATTCCAATTTTGTTTTGTGTAACCTATTGCAAAATATTCATATTTTTATTGTTTATTGTGTAGTTTTTTTTTTTTTTAGAACTTGTAGTATTTTTTTTATGATAGATTTTGTTTTAGATCGTTTATACCCTCTTTTTTTTTATTATTATTATAATTGTTGCTTTGTAAATTTGGCATTCATGACAACAGAACCACATTGTTCCCTAACGACTATCCATAAAATTTTAATTTGTCATTACTCTTTTATATATATATAATCATATTCTTAGTCATAACTTGTTTCTTAATTTTTCTTGAACAAGTCATGATTTCTTGACAATAATTCGTGTCTGTTAATTTGTTGGGATAATAACTTTTTTTTCAAAAAAATTAGTCTTGAATATCCAAAAAACAATTATGTTAGGTAACCTTTTGGGCTAAGAATTTTATCTTACTAACTTGATTTTAGGTGACCTTTTTTTTTAAAAAAATAATATAAATAAATAAATAAATCTTGTTATGCAAGATTTTTTGCTTTGGGTTAACTTTATTCCCAAAGTATTAATTTTAATTTTAATTAGCTTTTTCTCAGGGATTTTAGATGACATTCGCTCTAACAGTTTATAACTTTTGTGTTAATTATAGCAGACTTTTGTTATAAGAGTTTTATTTATTTTTTATTATTATTAACTTTCTTTTGATCACCTTAAGTGATTTTTGTGTTGACTTAGGTGACTCTTGTGACAACTTTAGGTAACTTCCGTGATAGCTCTAAGTGACTTCTGTAACAACACTAGGTGACTTCTGTAACAATCCAATGTGACTTCTGTAACAGCCTAATATGACTTCTGTAACAGCTTTAGGTGACTTCTGTAACAGCCCTGAGTAACTTTTGTAACAGTTGTAGGTGACTTCTGTAATAGCCCAAGGTGATTTCTGTAACAGCCCAAAGTGACTTCTGTAACAGCCCAAGGTAACTTTTGTAACTGCCCAAAGTGATTTATGTCACAGTCTTAAGTGACTTCTGTAACAACACTAAGTGACTTTTGTAATAGCCCAAAGTGACTTCTATAACAGTCCAATGTGACTTTTGTAATAGCCCTATGTGACTTCTGTAACAGCCCTAGGTGACTTGTGTGACAACACAAGGTGACTTCTGTATTACTGTATTGCTACTATTATTATTTTATTTTCCCTTAATATATATATATTATATATTTTAAATTCTTATTTGTTTTTTTTTTGGTTATGATTTTTTTTTCCAGATGGCCTTATCTCAAATAGCTAAATTGGAAAAAAATTTCAAAATTACAAGTCAAAGAAAGAACTTACCTTCCGATGAGTGGATTCCAAAGTCGGAGGATCCAATTCTGAAATACAAAGTTTTGTGTTTTCTAACTGTTGTGATAAAGAACTATAGAACCAACGAGCGGTCAACATTATCACTCAAAGTTCTTAAGCCCATGACTGGTCCCTGTAGTCGCTCGAGAATAATCTATGAACCTGAACTTCATATGTCGATGATTAGTGAATCCTCTACCAGAGAACATGCACAAAAGTGACACGATTAAGTCAGATCGAGTACCCTCACTTTGTGTGTCTTCATATCATTCCAAAGATCATCTTATCCCAAAGCCACTTATTGCTGATCTAATCAACCATTGGATTACGAGGTGAGGATGTTCATTGAACCCAAGGGGAGATATTCAATATCTGAATGGTTTTGGGAGTGGTCTCAATGAATTTACCGCAAGTTGTTAAATAAGGGTTTCGACGAACTTGCTTATGTTGTGCATGCAACTTCTTTTAACTACTCTCGACCCAACAGTGTATATCACACCCTTTGTGAAGTTTGGTGTCCACAAACGAATATGTTTGTTATGAGAGTAGAAGAAATTGGAATCTCACTTTGGGAAATGCGACACATCACCGTTCTTTCAA